TCCTGTGTGTGTGTGTGTGTGTGTGTGTGTGTGTGTGTGTGTAGATACAGATATAAATGCAGATTGTATATATATATATGTAAACACACACCAGGGTACTTCGAACAGTTTGTAGAAAATTGGAATTAAAAGACAATGCAAATCTTTCCATGAACCTGTTGAGGACCCCAGAGAGAGAGAGAGAGAGAGAGAGAGAGAGAGAGAGAGAGAGTGTGTGTGTGTGTGTGTGTGTGTGTGTGTGTGTGTGTGTAGATACAGATATAAATGCAGATTGTATATATATATATGTAAACACACACCAGGGTACTTCGAACAGTTTGTAGAAAATTGGAATTAAAAGACAATGCAAATCTTTCCATGAACCTGTTGAGGACCCCTCGCACACACACAAGTACACATGGAAACTTCCTCCCAACCTCCCAGTCTTTTTTCCTCTTTAGAACAGTATTTCATTTTCTTCTGATTTTTAAAAATAATATTTACTCATTGTACATTTGAAAAACATATAAAAAATACCAAGCACACAAATATCACCAAAAATCCTGTTCCTCCAAAGTAACAACTGTTAAGTTCTGTGTTTCCTTCTAGTCTTTTTGAATTCGTTTTTAGCATGCTTATGTTTCTGATTATAGAAGTAACTAATGCTCATGGTGGAAACTTCAAAAACAGAACTTAGGAAAACTTACAAACATGCAGAAAATTCAAAGCTAAGAAAAGTACAAAGGCAAATTAGAGTGGCCTGCCTCTCACCTGGGGAGAGGCCACCTGGGATTCCCGGCTGTCCCGGGCACCTGCGGTGGTGGGTGTTCTGCTGTTTAGTTAACACACACGGGGATGTGGCAAGAGTGGCTTTATGATTGTGTGTTATTTAAATGTCCTTCAAACTATGGTGCCCAGTGGGGTGGGGTGATGACGAGGGTGTTTAGAATTGGAAAGCAGGAGGCTGGTCTAGTGCAAACAGGGAAACCAAGGCAGAAGAGGATGTGGAGCTGCACACGGGGAGCGCCTATGTGTCGGGCACTTTACAAAGCTGCTTCCTTTCCTCTTCACACAGCCTCACCCAGTGTACGCTTGTCAACCTGCTTCACGGCTGGGGAAACTGAGGCTGAGCAGGTGAAGTCATTCTCCCAAGGCCACACAGTACCAAGTGGCAGAACTGGCATTGGGTCCCAGGCCCTGGTGCAGCTCTGATTCCCCACCTGTCCCAGGTCCCCTTACTGAAAGAGACCAGCAGTGAGATTCACGCTGCAAGCCGTGGGGGCATCCCCAGGGCAGGACTAGAGTGCCTCTGTTCATGGCAGCATCCTGGGGTGGCTGGAGGACAAAGCCTCCTGCCTGGCCTGGGCTCACCCACCTGGACCCTCAGAGCAGACCTGCTGCAACTCCTGAGTTCCAGACAGACTTCCAGGAAATACGGACAGCTGCTGCCCCCTAGAGCCTGGAATCTAGCGAACCTGTCGCATCTGCACAGTCTCCTACCTGGACTCAGCCCCAGTGCCCGGCTCTCCCACGCTGGCCAGGGGACCCTTGCTGGTGGTTACTGGGCAGGCGTGGAGCCGGGGCTTTGGGCATCCTTGGGGAAGGGTGCAGGAGTGTCGGAGGCGGTGGGTACGCACATTCACTCCTGCACACCCACATACACATACAAACTCACAGACACTGGCCCACATACACTTACACACACATGTTCACACACACACACACAGTCACATTCCAACACTCACACACACACACACACACACAGTCACACACATCCACTCTCACACATAGGCCAAGTGGGGTTTGTAAATAGCACTGGATTTAGGGGAGTCCAAGTTTTGTAAATAGCTAAGAATTAAAAATAAGGTCTGATAGAGAACCCAGAAATAGTCCTACATAAATATTCCCAACCAACTTTTGACACAGGTGCAAAGACAACTCCTGGAGGAAGGATGGCCTTTGCATTCAGTAAAAATGAACCGCGACCCCAAACCATAAAACTTTTAGAAAAATCATAGGCGAAAATATTCAGGATCTAGGGCTAGAAAAAGAGCCCTTAGATTTGACACTAAAAGCGCAATTCGTAGAAGGAAAATTTGATAAATTGGGCTTCAAAATGAGACACTTTTGCTCTGTGAAAGATCCTTGTTAAGAGGATGAAAAAGCAAGCTGCGGAGTGGGAGGAATATTTGCAAACCATGTATCCAGTAAGCACTCGCATCTAGAACACAGGAAGAAGTCTCAGAACTCAGCAGCAAGAAAAACCATCCAAAGAGAAAATGGGTAAAAGACATGAAGAGACATTTCCCCAGAGAGGATGTACAGGTGACAGATAAGCATATGAAAAGATGGTCCACATCATTAGCTGCCAGGGAAATGCACATTAAAACCACAATTAGACATTGCTGTGTGCCTATCAGAATGGCTGAGATATAACAGTGACAGCACATGCCGGTGAGGACGGACAGACTGACCACTCACATGGCTGGTGGGAATGGAGAACGGTGCAGCCACTCTGGAAAACAGCCCGCACTTCCTTAAAACTCTAAACAGGCAGTTACCACGTGACCCAGCAATTGCACTCATGGGCATTAATCCAGAGAAATGAGGACTTTGTGTTCACACAGAAACCTGTACATGTGCGTCCACAGCAGCTTGACTCATAGAAGCCAGAAGCTGGAAACAGTGCAGACGTCCTCCAGGGGGTGAGTGGACACACGAGCCGTGGCGTGTCCTTACCAGGGACACCGCTCAGGAATAAAAAGGAGTGGATTTATTGATACACGCAACAACCCGGATGAATCTCGAGTGAATTATGCTGAGTGAGAAAAGCCAATCCCAAATGATTCTGTACTGTCTGATTCCATTTATGTAACATTCTTCAAATGACAAAATTATGGAAATGGGGGACAGATTAGTGCTGCCAGGAGCTCAGGGGCTGAGGAGGGAGGTGGGTGTGGCTACAGCAAGGCAACAGGAGGGTCCTCGAGCTGGTGAACTTGGTCCCTTTCTTGACTGTATCAGTGTCAATATCGTACTTGTGATACTGCAGCTTTGCAAGGTGTTAGCATGGGGGGAGTAGGGTAAAGGGAACCCAGGCTCTGTCTGTTACTCTTCACAATTTTGAATCTGCAATTATTTCAGCATAAAGTGTTTAATTTTTTTTAAAAAGTTCTCAGTAATAAACAAACATAGATCAGAATGAATATACCAAGGTGTTAATGATGGGTATTATGGTGAGATGATGGGTTTTTCTTTTCTATTTTATTTTCTTTGCTCTTTGTATTTTCTGTTTTATCTACATTGAGAATGTCCTACTTTTGTGATTAGGAAAAAAATTGCAAGTTATTTTAACCAACCAAGTAAAATGTTTAAGTGCTGTAGTTAAATGTACATTGGTGTGGCCGCTTGTAGGCAGGAACAGGAGGCCCCCAGAGGTGTGGCACCTCCCCCAAGCTAGCTGAACCATGGCCCTGACTCAGGGTCAAAGGTGCCTTGTGCTGTTCCCCCCCCCATGGGAGAAAGTCAGACTTGAGACCTTCCCTTGTTCCCCCAGCATCCTGAGTTCTGGACTTCTGAGCCTCAGTCTTCTAACCTATAAAATGGGAGAATAGAACACCATATACATGAGGTTCCTGGGGATGCCATAGCAAATGACCACAAACTGGGTGGCTTAAAACAATACCAGGGCTCTAGAGGAGAACCTGTTTTTACCTCTGCTGGCTTTTGGTGGATGCAGGAGTTCCTTGGTTTGTGGTGGACTCACCTCAGTCTCCCCTCCACCTTCACGCAGCCTCCGCTGTCTCAAATCTCCCTCTCCTTTCCCTTACAAGGACACCAGACGTTAGATTTAGGGCCCGCCCTAACCCAGTATTACCTCATCTTAACTAATTACATCTGCAAAGACCCTGTTTCCAAACGAGATCCCATTCTGAGATTCCTGGTGGACATGGATTTGGGGGGGCTCTATTCACCCCATTCCACCATGCTTGTGGAGAAAGTTAAATGAACATAACGTATGTAAAAGAATTCTACCACCTGTTGAGCTTTGGCTGGGGTGAACTGACAAGGTTTCTATATGGTTAGTAATAATCCTGTTTTATTCTTGATCACTGGAAGTGGCTTTCTGGGTGTCCTTGGGGGGAGTGGGGCATAGCAGGAAGGGACAGGGGAGGAGAGAGACTGTGATAGTGAGTATTGGAGCTCTTTCTTGCCATAAAGTTGAAAAGTTACTGTCTCCGCCACTCTGTCCCCCACCTCTGAGGAAAGCCTGGTCGCTAGAAGGACCATGCTTGCAGCAGGGAAGCATGCCGGGGGTAACACGGCTCCTCAGCTTCCAGGTCCACTCCTGAGTGGCCCTGTGACCTTTCTCTGCAGGGTGATTTCCTGACCACAAAGTACCAAGTGGACCTTGGGGATGGTTTCAAGGCCATGTATGTGAACCTCACGCTGACCGGGGAGCCCATCCGGCACCGCTACAAGAGCCCCGGCGTCTACCGCGTGTCTGTCAGGGCAGAGAACATGGCAGGACATGATGAAGCAGTGCTCTTTGTCCAGGTCAACTGTAAGTCCATCTCTTCTTCAAGGCTAGAGTCACTTCTAGTGACAAAGAGAACAATGTCCTTGGGGAAAGACAGGAGTCCCTTGGGGCTTCTGTAGATGCCCCTGATACTCAGGATGGTGAGCCCAAGGGAGGCAGGTAGGCTGGGCTCAAACCTGCACCTCTGATGATCTGTACAGTGGTAGGGTGGTTGTTAGTGGTGGTGGTGATGGTGATGGTGGTGATGGTGGTGATGGTGATGGTGGTGATGGTGATGATGGTGATGGTGATGATGGTGATGATGATGGTGATGATGATGATAGTGATGATGGTGATGATGGTGATGATGGTGATGGTGATGATGATGGTGGTGATGGTGATGATGGTGATGGTGATGATGGTGATGATGATGGTGATGATGATAGTGATGATGGTGATGATGGTGATGATGGTGATGGTGATGATGGTGATGATGATGGTG